GGGGGGGGGGGGGGGGGGGTCTTTATTAATACAGTCAATTTTAAACTGGTAGAGACAAAAAACGGAAATTTTTTGTTTCTGTGATAAAAGCATATAGTTGGAATTGTCTTATCTCTTAGCACTACTGTTTGAGTACACACACCGCCACAAGTTCCACAAAACATTTTTTCCGCTGATAAATCCCAGCCGAAAATATGTTTCTTTCAACCTTCGGGGATCTAGAAAACGATGACCTATTGCATGTCTTTCCCTTCATGCTTAACAGTCTCAAGAGCCTTGTCTTTTTATCCAGAACATAATCAAAAATATATCTTGGTGTTTTGTAAAGAAGAAAATTTTTGAAGAAAATGCCAATTTCTGAGCAAGACCATGGGTTAACCCCTTTGGAAAAAGGTATTTTTTCAACTATGCGATAAGGATTTTTAGTAGAAAAAGTCTTCTTTTCTGTGTAGAACAAAATCAAACAATATATCTTAGAGTTTCCCAAAGAAAAACAACTTTTCAAGAAACTGCCAACATTTGACCAAAATAATGGGCTAACCCCTTTGGATAATGCAAATTTTTGGCTTGTGTTAAAAATGACCATGTTTTTATAGTTTAGAGAGCCTCTGTAATATCCAATCTGGCCTTATTCTAAAGAAAAACAAACTGGCACCACATTTTAAATTTTTGACCAAAAACCCCCCGAAAGACGGACTTTTTTTGGCTATGACAAATAGCATTTTTATGATCGGGGAAGCCTTTTTTTCCTTTTAAAACATTAGGAAACAATGCTTTTAGGCCCATTTCAAAGAAAAACAAAGCGGCAAGAAATTTCAATTTTGATCAAAATCATGGGTTAACCTCTTTGCAAAGTTGCAAATTCTTCGACTATGATAAAATGACATTTTTATAAGCTACGAAGTGTACTTTTCTAAATAGAAAATTAGGAAGCAATTTTTTTAGGCCTATTTAAAAGAAAATCAAACTCGGATGAAAGTTTAAGTTTCTGACTAAAATCATGTGTAGCCCTTTTCGAACAATGCAAATCTTTCGATTATTTTAAAATGACATTTACTGTTTACAAAATTATCAAACAATATAACTAGGCCTATTTTAAAGGAAAACTAACTTGAAATAAATTTCAAAATTTAGATTTAACTTAGCAGCTATCCCCTTGTTTTAGTGAAGAAATCGTATATTTTTTCGCAAAACCAAAGGCTTGGAAATTTCCAGTAAGAGGACCATGTAAAATTGGGAGGCTAGTTTCTCTCTGGGATAACTGTAAACATTATTTGTAGCCTAATTCGTGCAAAAAATACTTAATTCTGTAATAGGTCCTTTTAATAATAATTAGTGAAGAAACACGAGGTAGCCCCATATCACCAGTTGACTTCGTGGAGTTTATTCAGCAAATCGCGAGGTTGAAGTCTCTTTCGCCTTGAGGTTTCGAAATTAAAGGACAAAAGAAAACGCAAAGTCCACGATAAAAATGTTTCTTTATTTTCTTTGATTTAAAACAGCGTCATTTCTTATGTATAAACACTAAAATAATCTGCTTTGTACTAATTGTAACATTTCTTAATTTATTTACAAGCTTATATAATTTGTATAATAGTCTTAAAAATGGAAAATCATAGGTATTATTTTCTCATGGAAGAACCCCTCACCTCACAACGACTGAAGAAAAAAAGTATATATATATATAATTTGTATAAATATAACCTCTGCTTTGTTAAATATACAATAAAAACCAATATAAACCCATTTACTTTCAAACTGAGTCAAAAGAACTTTTTAGCTTTTATATTTTGTTTTACTAACGTAGGAATTTGCCTTTCTCTTTGCATAAATAATGCGTAAATATGCAAATTTGATGGAAGCAGTTGGCTTAAGCATTATCACAGGACCAACACAGGAACTACATTGGGGAAATTAAACTTACAAACAAAAGAGGTCTGCTGTGCAGGTAGGTAACGTCCTGCAATGTAGTTAGTTATACATTTTCAGCTTGCAAACAGTTGGCTTAAGCATTATCACAGGACCAACACAGGAACTACATTGGGGAAATAAAACTTACAAACAAAAGAGGTCTGTTGTGCAGGTAGGTAACGTCCTGCAATGTAGTTAGTTATACATTTTCAGCTTACAGATGCCCATTCAAACGAAAGCTAGTGATTTCTTTAATACTGACTAACATACTGTACAAGGTACTTCTTTTATGTTAAAAATTAAATTCAATATTTTAATATATATATATATTATTCTCTCTTTAGCAAAAATAAGTTCTTATTTGTCTAATAGCTTGAACTTTTTTTACGTCTTTTATACCCCACATTAACATGCATCTTCTCTAAACTGCTCTCCAACGAAACAGTTTTAATACCTAAATATAGTCTTACAAAATGGACCATTATTTATGGAACTAAATTAATGCGAAGACACGTTCTAGCTTTTTAAAAAGAGCAAAGAGCTTGACATAGCCCGTTCCTACCACTCCCCTAAGTCAACACTTTGCTCTGAGTGAAAAGGCTTAGGGGAGGGGTAGGTGGGCAGTTTCCCAGAAACGGATAAGCCCTTTCTAAGTCTCGAAAGATGTGCCACTAAAATATTCTTTAAATTGAAAACACTGTATACACAGTTTTGTACATAATTCTTCTTATAACAGACATATATACCAACGGTCACCTGAAAACGACTATAAAATACCGTACAATGGTTTAAACCAAGATGATTATCAAGAGCTAGTCCCACGCATGAGAGAATCGATTCACCCTTCGTCAAAAGAAGAGCGCCGGAGACCCTCAACATCTGGAATTTGTTAACAATAAAGTAACACCTAACAGTCATCCTTTAGGGCAACTGCTCCTAATTCTAATTAGTGCCAAGCATTTAAGAGGGAAAAGGGAGGCGGCGGTGGGGAGAATAGCAATAACTCATCACGTGCTCCCCACCGAGGATTTAGGTTTATGCATTTGGCATTTTTTACGCAAATCATGCACTCCTACCCATCAAAACAGCTACAGTGACAAGTTTCTGACTTCTTACATGGTACTCGATATTGACAGTACCCTGGATACACTGTCGTGAGCATGTAAAGCTGCTGATTGCTTTCCTGGGCTGTTGTTGCTGATTAAACTGAGAGAAGAGTGGCGAGAAAGACCAGGATGTGGTTCACGCTCTTTTATGTCATTGGCCCTTTTGTACAGATGTGCTGCTTTCTCTGGTGAGCCCTGATAGAAACACATTGCACTTTTATAGAACAAACATTAGATAATTGTCTCCCACTATTATTGAACAATATTTTTGGAATGATCTTCCCCTTTCCATCCGCAATGTGTAAAGAATTCCGTCTTTATAGGAAATACTCCAAACTGAATCATCACAAAAACTCTTTTGTATCCCTGAAAATTTGAGAAAAACCCCAAAGCATGGTTTTAAGAAACAAATACAAAGTCTATTACTACTTGATCTTCAAAGACAGGATAGTTATCCTGATATAGACACCCTTATTAATGAAATTAAAAAAAATCATCTTAATCCAATGTATTGTAACCTCTATTTATCTACTTACTTACATATTTATTCAATTTTACTAATGTTCTTTTTAACCTCTTTTTTCTTGATGTTGTAAATCTCTTTTATGTTTCTTGTAAAATGTCTTTTAAATGTATCACTTTACGTATGTAGAGTACCACACTGCCTGCCTCGAATATCGTTAGCTAAATGTAGGTAGTGTGTATGTTTAATGTATTTCATTGCTTTTAATAAAGTTGCTCTTGTTGTTTAATCATTGCTTATTCCAATACCAAAATTCTAGCTAGATTGACTTAAGAGACCACACTACAAGGGTCAGTCTACTTCCCTTCCTCTTATCGAACAGCAGTGTAGGTCCTTTTATGTCCCCATTTAATTAAATGGCAAGGAAAGGTGAAAGAAACCAACGCCCACTAACGCGACCATCTAAACTGACAGACGGTGTATAACAGCAGCCACCATAATTTTCCCATAGTTTTAAAAAAATGTGATTGGCGATCTGAACCCGCGACGTCAGGCTCAGCAGACTGGACTCTTCCGACTGAGTTCACCGGGTGGTGGTTTACCCCTATTGTAACTCTAATAGGATGCGAGGGCCCTCTGAGGTAAAGTATATTAAAGAGAAAGTATACTCACCAGGTCATAAAGCAGCTTAGCAAGATTGACGAGAGTTTCAGCCACACGTGGATGGCTTGTGCCCAGCATCTCTTCATAGATCTGTAGAGCCCGCTCGTACAGTGGTAACGCCTCTGACTGTCTGTTCTGTCAATCAAAACAATAGAAAAGTTTCGAACTCTTTCACTGCCAAAAGTAGCTCAAGTCAACAATCAAGAAAATTTCCGAATGTTATTGAGTAACATGCTGAAAAACAAACGGAACCATGTAAAAGTACTGCTCAAGAGGTTTCATTTGAATGGTCACACCATAGGATTTCATACACCCACTAAAGAGTTGGAATTACATTCTAAAGAAATAATGCCATGTGAAAGTACTGCTGAAGAGGTTTCATTTGAACGGTCACTCAATAGAATTTCGTCTTCAGACTCAAATGTTAGAGCTACATACTCAATAGATTGTACCAGAAACTCATAAGGGGTTAAAAACGTGTATCTCTCATATGTTTGCTTTGTCCGATGCTCGTGATTATTCATTTTCGAAAGTACCATATTTGGAACGAGAAGAAGAGATAACTGACCAATCAAACTTCGTANATTGTCTCCCACTATTATTGAACAATATTTTTGGAATGATCTTCCCCTTTCCATCCGCAATGTGTAAAGAATTCCGTCTTTATAGGAAATACTCCAAACTGAATCATCACAAAAACTCTTTTGTATCCCTGAAAATTTGAGAAAAACCCCAAAGCATGGTTTTAAGAAACAAATACAAAGTCTATTACTACTTGATCTTCAAAGACAGGATAGTTATCCTGATATAGACACCCTTATTAATGAAATTAAAAAAAATCATCTTAATCCAATGTATTGTAACCTCTATTTATCTACTTACTTACATATTTATTCAATTTTACTAATGTTCTTTTTAACCTCTTTTTTCTTGATGTTGTAAATCTCTTTTATGTTTCTTGTAAAATGTCTTTTAAATGTATCACTTTACGTATGTAGAGTACCACACTGCCTGCCTCGAATATCGTTAGCTAAATGTAGGTAGTGTGTATGTTTAATGTATTTCATTGCTTTTAATAAAGTTGCTCTTGTTGTTTAATCATTGCTTATTCCAATACCAAAATTCTAGCTAGATTGACTTAAGAGACCACACTACAAGGGTCAGTCTACTTCCCTTCCTCTTATCGAACAGCAGTGTAGGTCCTTTTATGTCCCCATTTAATTAAATGGCAAGGAAAGGTGAAAGAAACCAACGCCCACTAACGCGACCATCTAAACTGACAGACGGTGTATAACAGCAGCCACCATAATTTTCCCATAGTTTTAAAAAAATGTGATTGGCGATCTGAACCCGCGACGTCAGGCTCAGCAGACTGGACTCTTCCGACTGAGTTCACCGGGTGGTGGTTTACCCCTATTGTAACTCTAATAGGATGCGAGGGCCCTCTGAGGTAAAGTATATTAAAGAGAAAGTATACTCACCAGGTCATAAAGCAGCTTAGCAAGATTGACGAGAGTTTCAGCCACACGTGGATGGCTTGTGCCCAGCATCTCTTCATAGATCTGTAGAGCCCGCTCGTACAGTGGTAACGCCTCTGACTGTCTGTTCTGTCAATCAAAACAATAGAAAAGTTTCGAACTCTTTCACTGCCAAAAGTAGCTCAAGTCAACAATCAAGAAAATTTCCGAATGTTATTGAGTAACATGCTGAAAAACAAACGGAACCATGTAAAAGTACTGCTCAAGAGGTTTCATTTGAATGGTCACACCATAGGATTTCATACACCCACTAAAGAGTTGGAATTACATTCTAAAGAAATAATGCCATGTGAAAGTACTGCTGAAGAGGTTTCATTTGAACGGTCACTCAATAGAATTTCGTCTTCAGACTCAAATGTTAGAGCTACATACTCAATAGATTGTACCAGAAACTCATAAGGGGTTAAAAACGTGTATCTCTCATATGTTTGCTTTGTCCGATGCTCGTGATTATTCATTTTCGAAAGTACCATATTTGGAACGAGAAGAAGAGATAACTGACCAATCAAACTTCGTAAACAACGTGACGTAGTTTTACTTCATGTTCCCGCGCCCGCTTGGAAAAAATGGCCGACAAACGGGGGAAAACTCCCGAAAGCCGAGAAAGCTTTCAAAGGTTGAAACCAGGAATCTTACCGAAACACTGAGCAGGATATTATTGCCTTACCACCCGTGCCAAACATATCATTATGAAAACCATTGACATCCTCGCAACTTCATGAAGTTGTCACTTCAAAAAACGATGCCTCGTTGACCCTCCGCAGGCCCTCTGCACAGTAAACTTATACTGCAAATAGGCTTTTAAAATTATTATATTAAAAGTCTAGAATAAACAGTAAAAAATATTTTCGAATAAAATTCATTAGATGCGTATCGAAAAGTGTCCAAAACCTGAACCTGACATCTTCGCAAAAAGTGCTGCGTGTAATGAATTTGAGAAGCATTTAAGCTTAAATTCAGCTTGGATGTTGTAGTCACGATCGTGTTTTGAGCTAATTTTATGAATGAACAAACTCAAAACAATAGACAGAGAAGCCGCTTCTTGAAAATTTTTATTCAAAATCCAAACAGTTAATCCTTAAAAGCAATTCGGAAAACACTCTCTGGATCGTGGATCCGTTCACGTAAGTGAAATCGGCTGAGCACATGGCAAAATTCAACCCAAAATCCATCTCAAATTGGGGCACATTTTGTAATTTTTCTTTAGCGCCGAAGAGAAAAATTTATAGAACGTCTATGAAACATTTAAAAATACATAAATTCCCTTTCAAAAACGTAATTGTCTCGGCCATAGAGTGCAAAATGTACCTGAAAATTCAGCAAAAACTTTACTGCCTTAGTTGCACTTCAAAACAGACCATGCGCTCCGTCGAGAAGAAAACAAGGTTGAATTCCTTGAAGGACGATCTCTTGATGAAAAGCTTCCCTTCCTCCACGAAAAGAACGCTGAGCGTTCTTTTGAACTTTCTCTTTTCATTTTTTTGTCTTTTAACGGTGTATTTCTAACCTTAAAATGCAGAACTCTTGTCTTAAAACATCTGCATGGTGATCGCGCGGCAGCCATTTGTTGAAAATGGATATCTGTCACTGAGGTTTCCAAATATGGTAAAAGTGAATATTCACGAGCATTGAACGCGAGTTACACGTTTCAACCCCTTATGAGTTTCTGATAGTACCATAAGAAAGTACTGCTGAAGAGGTTTCATTTAAACGGTCACTCCATAGAATTTCGTCTTCAGACTCAAAAGTTAGAACTACATATTCAATAGATAGTACCATAAGAAAGTACTGCTGAAGAGGTTTCACTTGAATGATCACACCAAAGAATTTCATCCAGAGACTCAAAAGTTAGAATGACGACGCTGTGGGAGTGAAGGGGTTTTAGACGCCGGTCCATAGCTTTCGCCAAATTGGTGGCGCGTCAGCCCATTACAGATCTTCGCTACCCACTTCAGTCCCTTTCAGGACATAAATTCAGTACATAAAAAAGTTCTGGCCACTTAGAGGTTACGCCTGGGACAGGGTCGGTTTTGTGTTTAACTGCTTTATAGGACTATATACTCTAGAAATACGTTATGACAAAAACCTCGCGAAGCCATAGAGCGTCAGCCTTAAGAATAAGGGAGACAAGGCAAAGGGAAAAATATGATAAAAACAAAGCAAAAAAACTAAAATAATGTATAACAAAGAAAAAGAGTTTAGTTCCAACGTATTCAAACCTTCATCATAAACACTAGCTGATCGTGTATCAAGTCCTATACCACTTGGGCCATGCTTTAAGATCTACCCAGCTCAGGAAAGGTAAGCCACACCACCGGGGTCCACGTCCCCTACTCTTTTCGTCAAGTGGTGTGGCTTCTTTTATGTCTCACAGGAACCAGATAAATGAAAGTGCTGTGGGACGGGACCCACAGTTTTTCGTCCTTATCCGAGAAGGAAGTGTAGAAAGTCTAACCATTTGTAGATGTAATTACAAAGGCAGCACTTTCTTCTCAATCATTTAAAGACCCTTAGCGTTGGTCCAGCCAGGGTTTAAACCCGCAACCTCTTGCTCAGCAGACCGGCACTCTTCCAACTGAGCTAACCAGACGGCAGTTTTGGGGGATGAGTTTTGACCTAGAGATCTGTCAGCCAATAAAAGAATGGGAAGCGTCACCAAACTGTCCCATAGTGCAATGGGACAATATACCAAACCTGTCCCACTAAGGTAGTCAAATAACTACGGTTACGTTGTTTACCTGAAGACATAAAACAACAGCAAGGTTGTTAAGAGCTGTAGCAACGCTGGGGTGTGATTTACCAAATGTCTTCTCTCGTATTTCTAGGGCTTGTCTGTGAGGTAAAAGAAAAGCACGACAGAATCAGATGGAAAAGCGAAACAAACTGGCACTGAATTGTTTACATGTTGTTTCCTGCCGACTACAACAGGACAGTTATAAGAAGCATCACTCTTTTTTCAGGGGAGGTCCTGGGAGCTCACAAGAGAGAAAACACAAATTATCAAGAAAGCTCGACACTGGAATTACTACAAATAAGTCAGAAAAAAGAAACAAACAAAACAAAATGGACCGGAAAATACCAACTTCCTGTCGGTAAAAGGAGTGAACCTGGTCACCTCTTTAGCGGAGTAATGAAACATTGTGAACGTCAGTGTAATTCCACCACTGACAATCTCCATTTTTTTGTGATGAGACTTTTTGGACTATTCATAATGGCGACCAGGAGACAAAAAATGTTTCTTACCTGTACAAAGGTTCTGCATCAGTATATTTACCCTGTCAGTAGAAAATAATATTTCACATTACCATGAAGGTTCTGTCAGAGTACATAGGTTCTTAAAGACATACAGCGCCTATTACAAGGTCTTGAAAAAGTACCTCACAACGCTTTAAGAGAAAAATAGAACCAGAAAAACAGTACCCACGTTTAAAATTACCTTTAAGCTACCATCTTTGTTTCTTTATTACCATACGATAAACTCTTGACATTACTGATCTAAGTATAGCAGGCCCAGTGAATACATGTGGCGTAGTGGCATGTTACGGCCATTTTGGATCACAGGGTCAAACATCGAGTAGTAACCACGTACCATTTTGACTG